GTCTTTATCTCTCAGATCACTGGAATTAGGTGACTAGTGTTGGACCGCTACTGTCAGTAGTATTGACAGCACCGGCCCGTTGCACACTATGAAGTCTTTAACATTCCCTGGAAATTCAATAGCGCTATTGTTCCCGGGTCGCTCATCCCCGGTATTAACACCATGTGCAGGCCTTAGAAATGATCAACTCGGATGCTTGCGTGAACTGGGTGTGGCGATTGACTGTGAAAACGCTTTTCCTTTGGCTAGCTGACTTTACCATATATACATACCCTTATTGAGCTATCACTTTAGACTATTTTCCCATGCTGCACGTGCTGTGCCCTCCCAGAGGCATCATCTCTTGCCCTGCTGGCTCGTCGCAGGAATATGCATCCACACCATGATTCTGAACCAGAACACCACGACGATCTACCACTGACGCCCTCTCCCCATCGCAACATGAAGCGTTGTTTTCTTCTTCTGCGGTTGCCTGTGTTGTACAGATGGTCGAGGCGCGGCTTCGCTTACCGGCAAAGTCCTGAGGGGTTCTTGTCACAGGGACAGGGTACATTTTTCCCTTCTCAATGTCAACATTAGACGGTTACTCTACAGCGATACTTACCACCTCCGCCTGGGTCTTAGGCCAGGATGGCTCATTAGATGAAGTGTACATGAAGTATCTCTGTGACCGATGGATTTGGATGTATATGTCGGCATCGTATTGCTCCCTTATTCGGTCGCATCGTGCTAAAAGATTCTTCGTTGCCTTGACGAAATTCTCACTAGACCTGTCTCGCTTCTTGACTAGGCGCTGAGGGGGAGATGCCATGTTCAGGCCGCGGAGTGATGCTATTGCCAAGATGGATGCTGCCCGACAGTCTGAACTTATAAATACAGTGCCACCGAAATAGAACATGAACAATATTCCAGCATCTTGAATGACGTGTCCAAAAACAGCCGTCTTTAAGAATATCATTGTTTTCCACCGGATTACCCTGTGGTAGTCGCAATTCTAGGGCCAGATCCCGAGCATGAGAAGCCAAAAATGGCTGTGTTTATTTTAAGCTTGCTTACCTTGCCAGATGTTCCACGGCGTGACGTAGCGATGTAATGTCCCGTGCCTGATCCCGTGACGGAGGTACCGTTACATTTCGCACACCAACGTGTCTACCATCAGTTATACTGGTATGAATAGCATACTAGTATGCTATCTATACACACCCGGCCGGTATACTGGTACGAACAGCATACTGGTACGAACAGCATACTGGTATGAGTAGCATACTGGTACGGATAGCATACTGGTATGCTATCTATAGTATAGTGGTACGAACAGTATACTGGTACGAACAGCATGCCGGCATAAGTTGAACAACATACTAGTACAATAGCCAGGTCTAGAGTCTTGCATCTGTTCATACTAGTAAGCTGTTCGTACTAGTATGCTACGCATTTAGCAATAGTACGCTTTTGATATTGGTATGCTTTCGGCTTGCGTTTGCGTCACTAATTCATTCATATCTCTAGAATTTCACATCTTACGATTGTCAAACTATACCTTCTTACGTCGTTCCTAGAAAGGCCAGCCGGACATGCAGTCGCTAAGTGTTCGTTGACGCAACGTTCCTTGCAACTCAGAACACCAAGCATTTCTCTGTGTTCGAAAGATTGACGTCGCCACTTGACTAGCCATCATTCTTAAACTAATGAGATAGGGAGAGCCGCAAGCTAGTTGTTCGAAAACAACTCGGCTGCAGGAACCCCTTGCCAACGCCCATAGTAACGGCCAATGAAGATCTTCCTGATAAACCGAAGGACATCGCCACAAGGCGATGAACGTCTCCCCTATCTGCACGGCTCATGTACTTTTACCATAATTGCGGCGGAAATGAGTTTTGGTAAAAGGAAAAAGAAGGAAGAAGAAAGAAAAACACAAACTTCTTATTTGTGTATGCCACTGATTTCTGATCGTCGTCCATATTGACTTGAGTGCATTCTATCACCAAGCTGCCACTTGAAGTTGCTCGCAAACAACTGCGTGGCGACATACACAGAGTAAATGTTGGATTACCAGCTTGCCACCGCGCCAAAACTGACTTTATCGGCTGAGTGCAACAAGAGCCAGTCAGATATCAATAATGTTCCCGCCACGAACCGAGTACCCACTCCTTGAATACTGAAATACTCCACATATATTCTAGCAAGCACTCTTCCCAACTCTCCAAGTAGAGGTAAGTCAAGCATTCTGCTCTTTCCCCACCGTGATGGCTTGTATAGATCGAGGACGCGCGCAGAACGTGACCGGCTCTCAACCTTGGGCAACGTCGAGGATGTATTTGCGACAGATGCTCGATACTGTACAGCTATGTCTCCACAGTTAGATGCCCTGGCCCTCCCCGCTGAGCTCAGTTGGAATCGACGCGCCGAGGCGGCTGGCTTCAAGAAGTAAGACGATGTTGGTCTGCTGCTTAATGTAGTCATCTCAAGCAAGAGTAGTTCTCGAACCGTGTCCGCCGTTGTTCCATTCCATAGTGTAGCTGTATAAGTCTCTCGCACAACCCTTTGCTTGTGTTACCGTTTCAGATGCATTCATTTCGTGATCTGTCGAGTTGAAGCCTGGGCTTCACGAGCCACACGGGATTCGTCGCTGCATGCAGCTGTCTACCTATCCGGTAGGCCCTGACAGCTTTTGTGTGGGCCTCTATGTTTGCATGTGGATGCTAGCACACAGATGATAGCATGCATTGGCTGACTCTGGTAGGCCAGCTCTGCGCTACTGGGCCCATTCCAGTGCCGATTGTCCCGTGTGGGCTGGTCGACAAAGTTGTTGACAGATCTTTAGTATGGTCAGCAGTGGCATAATGGATGGGGATGAGTATGGTTGTATTGCTTGAGTGATCTGCTGGGCCTGCAGTAGATCTATATAAACGAGTGGCGTCTATCCCTTGTAGGGCAATCCTGGCCCGACTATGTGGTTAACTGAGTAATGACTGTATGCGGTGAGTTTCACCTAAGCGAGGGTATCTTAGATTCTGTCAGTTGTCCTGTGGCACAAGATGCGGCTCAGGTCACCCGCCGTACGTATATGACAAATGCTCCTCAACTTGTCAAACCCAAGCGGACAGTTTTTCCTCATCGGGGGACCGCAAGCTACAACATAGCAAATACTTGCCATAATTGGCCAGCGTCCTCAAAGACGTGAGGCAGGAAGAGTCTTGTGAAACGAGCCGGAGGAGGTGAAAGAGTACGCTTCTAGCTTTTGAGCGTACGGTTGCTTCAGCAATGAGTAGACTCAGTCGAGACACGTGTACAATTTTCCTGTTTACAACAGAGCATCGAACAATACTTCTCAGCGAAACACAGTACAACTGTGATAATACGTTGATTCTCTGTTGCACACACTCTCATTGGTTTAGAGAGTCAAAAACTGCTGTGATGGGTCTCTTCACACATCTAATGAAGCTTATTGCTAGCCTATGCTGTGCGCTGTATTCATCGGTGTTACCAGGCATGCCACGCTTCCCCACAACTCTGATAGACTTTATGGTTGTTGAGCAAGCTCTTTCCCGTTCGCCTAGCCGCGTCTCAAAACACATCCGTACATAGGCGATGACATAGCTAGACTACATTTTCGAATAGCATCGCAAGACTGCATTGAAACCCAGCTGTGCCTTTGTGACATGAGGCTCGTGACGGAGGCCATCAAGGATTACTTTGGTAGGTGCTTGAAAATGCCGGGTTGATTACGCTTTGCCGGCCGCTGTTGTAACCGGTGGATGACATCGAGCATAAAGTACCGCATGGCTAAGACTAGACCAGACAGTGTAGAAAGAGACTGTCAGCAAATGGTGCATCGACCTTGGGGATGTACTTGCCTAGCGATGACAGTACTTCATCCTGCCAATAACAACTAAGCTGACAAGGACACGATTGTAGTATTATTCACTTTCAGCTTCCCGCTGTAGAAATCAAACTTGGTTTCCGTCTTGGCAGATAGGAATTATTCTGTGCACAGGCATGTGTGGACCTCTTTGCTGACAGAATACATACTGAGACCCATCGAGTACATTCACCGATAACCTCCACAGTAAAGCCAGAATCGCTTCTCTACTATGTTCTTATTTTAGACCCATGTTGCATACTGTAGAGACTGCACTTGCCATCGCCGTTTGTGGAGATTGGATTATGCGACATGGGTCTAATCCACGAACACCGTGTAAAAGCAACTTCTGACTTCGACTATGGTGGTCATCAAGAAAGTATGGTCGGGGCCTTGTCATTTACCCTGTCAGCAAGCGGATCCATAACCATCTGTGCACAGAATAATTCCTATTTTCAAAGACGGAAACCAGATTTGATTTCTACGTACTGTACGTCCAAAATGCATGTCGGGAAGTTTGGTGTTCAAAGCATAGGCCCCCTGTGGGGCTCAGGGCTGTGGCAGACCCTCGCGCCCGCCCCGTTACGCCACAGGAGCAAGAACCCCACACTGCAAGGACAGTTCACAACCAGTGCCATATCACGCTGCAGCGGGCAGGTCTCCGTCAAGAGGGTGCCCAGTTGGCTGATTCAACCCCCTACGTATAGAGCTATAAATTTGGTGTTCATCCGCTCGTGACTTCTATCACTGTCGTATCAGCGATGTAGAATAGGGTACAATAGTAGTAATGGGAGAAGATGAGGACGATTTAATCAAGTCGCTTCCCGATGCATTATCTGCCGTCCGATTCTGCATTGCTTGATTATATATTGAACTGGAATGGAATTTGCTACTTAGCAACGGACTCGCTGCTATCCAGAAAGGTTTCGTTGGCCCACAACCTCAAACCCGAGCATAGGTACAAAGAGCGATGTACTGCGGGACACGCACATCAAGACGCTAGCCCGATTGGGCAATTCTGCATTGACATTGAGGTTTTGCAACAGTGACCGAATAGCGTCTGAAAGTTATCATCCTCTCCTGTGAACTTCGGAAAGTCTTTCTCTATGCCTATGTACATGAAGATAATAACGGGCCATTATTTCTCGGGCAGGTGACCATAACCCACTTCCGGAGCTTCCCAGAGCTGGGCCGCGCCTGGCCAGACCGCTTTCCCCGACTGTTTTTTTATTGAATCGGGCTTCTCGTCTGCGTGAGTTGCCTCTTTGAATTCCAGAGTCTCCGGGTCTTTGACATAGCCATGGCAGGCAACATGAGTTTCACGACCAAGATGATCTTGGCTTTTGTAACTAAAGGTCACATGGGCTCCTCGAGGATCCTTTTGCCGTCTGCCGTTGATAGTGGTCGTGAGGTGAACCTCGCTTCTGTTTTGGCCGGTCACTGTTAGTCCGACTGAGAGTTCATGTACTTTTGTGTGAGCTCAAACATAGTTCAAGCAGTGCGTAACGTACCGGACAAATACCGCTTGAGGATAGAGCTCCTTGTCTCTTGCTGTCTGATATGCCAACGCGATCAGTTGACGCATTCTTGCTTCCGTTCCGGGTACATTGGCCTTGTGGAAGTAGTATTTAACGATGTTGATGGTAGACATAGTGCAAGATGGCAATACTACGATGTTGATGGTAGAGTGGCACAAGTTGGTATGATGATATATAACAGCCGTCGTGTTGCTTCGGGCGGTTTTACTATCCTTTTAAGATCGTTATGAACTGGCGTCAAGGAAATTAGACCACTCAATACCGCGCCTAACAGTTTCTTGGCGGTAAGCACCGAGAAAGTTTCGAGGCGGTTATGGTGAAGGCGTTTTATTTTGATAGGTCATCCGCCAACTTCATGTTGTCAAGCACATTGCTGGCCGCAGCTCCTGGAAGTCAGTCATTGGAGCGATTTGGGGTAGCTCGTCATGGCGGGGTCGAAGGGGCGGCGCTTCGGGGCGTCTAATCCACAACCTAGGGGAGGGCCAGTTAGTGGTTGCGTCGGGAAATGAACCCCTCTTTAGCGCCTACTACTGTGCTCAGCAATATCACTCAAACAAAAGAAGCACCACCCACTGACGAGTCTGACATCACCGCCATCAGCTACGTGACCTGCTCACTACCTAGGCTCCTCCCCCACCTACTATGTTTACAAGATTTTACACTTTTCCATGCAATCATCTCATCAGCAGCATCTTTTCTTCCAGCCTGCACAAGAGGCCACAGATGAAACGCTGGTACTCCCGGCAGACCCTACTGCGACGCGTGTTTCCGCGACGACCGTGTCAATCAAGTTCTCCGTTTTCAACGCGAAAATCTCGCATCTTCTCAACTTTGCCCTACTCGATGATGTCAGCCTCAGAGTTTGATTATGGGTATATTGAAAACGTGGAAAGACTCAACAACTATCGGCCAGGTGGTTATCATCCTATTCAAATCGACGATCGTCTTCACGAGCGATACCGCATAGTACACAAGCTTGGCCACGGCACGTTCTCGACGGTCTGGCTTGCTCTTGACGAAGGGACGTCAAATTACGTCGCCGTTAAAGTTGGCACCGCAGATGCAGACACGCGAGAGGTAGATATTCTATCTCAGCTTACTACAGGAGTCGCGGACCGCAGCCACGCCGCCCACAAGGCGTCAATGATCCCTACGGTCATCGATCGCTTTAGTCTTGATGGCCCCAATGGGACTCACCCTTGTTTTGCAACAGTCCCGGCGAGATGCAGTCTTATGGATGCGAAAGAGGCGTCAGACCCGAGATTATTTGAGCTTGATGTTGCTCGGTCTCTAGCTGCCCAGCTTGCCATAGCCATTTCTCTTGTTCACTCGCAGGGTTATGCCCATGGAGGTACGTGGTTCTCACCCTCATTGCCACCTCTCTGATAATGACAACGTCCTCTCCTAGACCTTCATCTTGGCAACCTTCTTCTTCAGCTACCTCCCTCTCTCAACGGTCTCTCAGTGGATCAATTATATGCTAAGTTTGGAGCTCCAGAGCCAGAGCCTGTCGTCCGTCTCGACAAAAACTCAACCTCTTCAGCAGCTGGGGTTCCTTCATACGCTATCCCTACTGTATGGCTTGGAAAAGCAAGTGATGAAATCACCATAAAGGAGGCAAAGCTATTACTTAGCGACTTCGGTGTCGCCTTTCGCCCGTCAGATAAGTCGCGGTTTAAATCGTATACACCCCTCGTAATCCGTCCGCCCGAGGCGTTCTTTGAACCGACGACGCCTCTCTCCTTTGCGTCAGATATATGGAGCCTCGGCTGTACTATCTTCGAGTTACTTGCTCACAGGTCTCTTATCGACGGAATTTTTACGCCTCAGGACGAAATCACGGCACAGCAGGTCCATTTACAAGGACCTCTGCCGTCGGAGTGGTGGAATAAATGGGAACAGCGGTTCAAATGGTTCGACGAAGCGTGGAAACCGCTCAGTAATAAGCGTGACATATGGACGTGGGATCGGCGTTTCGAGCAATGGGTACAAGAGCCGAGGCAGTCTTGTGGTATGAGTGTTATTGAAGAAGAAGAGAAGGCCGCGCTGTTTGAGCTGCTACAGTCGATGCTCGCATGGTGGCCTAGAGAGCGGCCAAATGCAGCGGAAGTGTTAAACATGGCTTGGATGAAGAGGTGGGCTTTGCCAGCGTACGAGGAGAGTCGGAAGGCTTGGGCATGACATTTTGCGATACTTATACAGAAAGCTGACTTTCAAAAGCGGTTTAGTTTTCTGGGAAGTAATTTTCAATGATTTGCGCGAAGTCTTGGGTAGTAACGAAGTGTATGATCGACTCCACTCGATCTAAGGAAAACATGTTCCGGTACGCTTGAGACGTATAGATCTGGTCCTACCATTCTACTTATGATAGTGGCATTTACATGCACTTCTTGTTCCTTAGCTGGGCCGGCCGGCCTTTGTTCGACTCCGCCAATCAAGCCATCAGCACAGACGTCGTTGGCATGGCTGCCAAGGCTCACAAGGACTGGCACAAGCTGGGCATCCTTCACGGCGATGCGGAGCCGCGCAACGTGAACGCGACACAGTGAGTGGCAATATCATGGTAGTGGATTTCGAGCGGGTAGACTTCCGCTGTCGCCCACCTCTAGGCTCGCTTAACTCAAACGGTCAAACCCAGAAGAGAAAGAGGGGGGGAGGATGTTAGACAAGCGACGGAAAGGCGGTTTTACGAAAGAACTAGAATCCGTCGTAGAACGTGTTTCAAAGTGTATAAAACAGCACGCTCAGAGGCTGCTATCTATGCCGCCAAGATGATGCAACGTATCTAAGGAATGACCAAGAGTTGGGCTCATGTTAAAGAAAATGGACCAAGGAGAAACTAAAGCAAAGAGACCACCACAAACTAATCACTCTGAAGCCATGAATCTCCCCGTCTTAGCGCTCTTTCCTCTCTAGTACGGGACACCCATCCCTCCACCTCGGCCAAAGCATCTGAGGGCGAGTCTCTGTTTGCTAGGAGGAAGGAAAAAATGTCGGCAGGACTGAATTCCAGCTCCGGCACAAGGGCTGCAAATTGACCTGCCAGTCTCCGGACTTCCTCATTGCTATCTTCTCGGTT